TATATATATATATATATATATATATATATATATATATATATATATATATACACACACACACATATCAGAGATGCAAACTCATCATGGGTGAAAAAGGTGACAAAGACGAGTGTCACAACGCTTTGGATAGCTGGCCAATCACAGCAAACCTCGCTTTTTCAGACCGATGAGCTTTGTAAGAATCGACGCGTTTCAAAAAGGCGGGGCATAGAGGAGAAACAATAATGTACAGTATGTGGAAAATAATGTGTTTTTTTTTTTTTTTTACTTTAAACCGCATAAACTCATTTCATTACACCAAATACACAAAATAATATTCTTTTTAGCAGCATCATATGACCCCTTTAAGATGAAAATGACATTAAATTGCCATTATATCCAGTAGATGGCAGCAGAGGATCACCCATTAGCTCAGTTGCCATTTCAACTCCCTAGTTTTTTTCACTCTTGTTTTTGGATTTTTTTTTTTAAATGACTATAAAAGTATAGCAAGTGCAGGTAGTCACAAAGTCTCGTCATTTAAAAATATATAAATAAGCCCAGACACCAACAGCCTAGTTGGGTTAATTATTTAAATACTTAGAGCGGGTACAGAATTGAGTTGGTACTACAGGAACTGTAAAAAGGCCCCCTCCCCCCAATCCAATGAGAATTTTTTTTCCTCCTCATCGGAGCTACACGAATCTCGTAGGTGACCTATTTTGATCTCAAAAAGGTGAATTATATATATATATATTTATATAAATTGATTTATATTATATATTTGTTATGTGTATAAAACACATTTAAACAACACAGAACACAAATGATAGATCCTTTTTTAAATTATATTTTCATGTAAATAGTGCCATTATGTTTAGAATCTTGTGAATGCAAGCTGTCACTAGATGGCAATATTGTTCTGAATGATGTGAAAAGCAGGTGGAAGCATAGATGGAGCACCCTTCACTTGTAGTTTTGTCTCCTCGTCAGCTGTCTTCTCCGTGGGGTTGTTAAAGACTTTGAGGATGCCTGCTTTAATGCGCTGTCAATGAAAACACAATGTGATGCCACTTTGTTAGATAATGAAGCTCAAACAGTTGCTGTCACAAAAAGCTTCCTTTATCGTGCTCAAAATAACAGGCACAGCAGAATTATCACCGTTCTTATCTTAAAATAATGAAAAGTTAAGATTTTAATTAAATAACTTATACTTATTTGACATGCATTTGACATCCGTAAACAAATGAAATAAATCGCGACCATTTTTCCACCTCAGACTTTAAAATCTTCACCCTTGGACGTGTTCTTTTTTCTCAGGTTTTTATTGCGGTAAATAAACTAAAGCAAACACAAGGCCATGAACACGTGTACGAGGTGTAAAGTAAATGTGTGCTTCACATATTTTACACTAAAAATGCATTGTATATCCCATGTATGTGTGGACATAAAGACTTGTGAAAGTGAGTGTCCCTGTGGTCTTAATGAGATGTGACATGGTCAGTGACTGTGTTGGTGAGAGAGCTGTTAGAAGACACAGTCACAGTAAAGCACCAATCAATAGATAATTGGCCGAGGTGGCGATGTCTGTGGGGCTCGACCGGTCTCCCCCATTGTCCCATCCCCACGCTCGGGATGGGCTATTTAGGTCAAAAGCCTGGTTAATCCCTCACCATCAGCCACTCAACCCCCCAAACCCCCATCTGAATCGTATCCCGCTGCAACACACACTAATTAATAACACAAACCCTAAAATAACTAGGCCACCACACTCTCTTAAGAAGTTGAGCTCACTTGAGCGCCCCATTCTTAGCAATTTTTATTCAACAGATAATTGGTGATAATTCATTTATCTTAATTAGCATATTGTAAGCAGGGATCCTATTGGCTAATCAACATAAATATTGTGGTGTCCATTGTCTGGTGACTGGCTTAAGGGGTCTCAGCTCTGGGATAAAATATTTTGAAGCATGCTTTGTTATATATATA